TTTCCCTTAAATTTCCCATTACCAACCTTGTTACCAACATGTCAGCACTAAAATGGCTTCCTCCTACCACCGAAAAGAGCAGCAGCACCACCGAAAAAAAAACCACTCACCATCACGTTTTGCACATGCCACCACCATACGCTCCAGTGAATCCCCTTCTCTTCCGCCATATTTCCACTGTCCACTGTCTCTCCTCGATGGCTGCTGCTGCTGCTGCTGCTCGACCGATCGCACTTCCGGAGCGGAGCGGACCGCCAGCGTGGTTCATAATGATAATGCATTATGCATTCCACCGGCTGTTTTTTAATTGTTATTAAGTCGAGATAAGGAGAACTTTAACACCTAACACTAGGCCGCTATGGGCCGCTCTATGGGCACCAGAAAACGTATAATTTCCGACATTTTAGGGGCACTTAACCTTAGCGGGCCAAAAAGACCAACAAAAAAATGCTCGCTCATAGTAATTTTTGTTTTTGGTTAGGGGTTCTCTCTCTTCTCTTTTCTTTCACTCGTGGGGGAACGGGAAATATAAATTGTCGGGGCCCCGAAATTCTACACTGTCATCAAAGCGTAACTAAACGCCCATTTTTCTCAACTTTTTCGAATCGAGTCGGGTCTGAGCGGACTGAGAGGTGTGCGAGGTGTGCGAGGTCTGTAAAGGTCTGCATGAGTTTTTTTTTTTGGGTCCGACAACCATTTTCGGTAGTTATTAGTGGCATATTTTGGCTTAAAGTGCGTGAACCATGTCGAAGCCAACAAAATTTATTGTTTAGTAGGGAAGTTAACAACAAAATGGACCTCCCCATGAGTGAGCCAGAAAGAGAAAGACACGCAACACGAAGCCAGCGATTTGGGAAAGGGAACGTGGAGCGGCACCCAGAGTTGGCCAGGCCAGGCCAGGCCAGAAAATATTAACGCCTCGAGCGGCAAGTAGTGGTTAGTGGTAACTGTTGTTTTCTGGAAGGTGAGAGGAGGAGGAGGAGGAGAACAACCCAACCTCTTACCTTATTGGCTGATGTCCATACACTCGACCACCATCATCGCTGTGAGATCCACAAGATTTGCTGAGGCTGGCTCCGGCTCTGGCCGTGGCTCTGGCTGCTGCCGATGCTGATGATGATGATGGCGTTGATTATGGCTTATTTTCAAATCTTACCTATGTATTCAAACTGGTACATTTATATATATATGTATGTACACACACATCTCTCATCTTTTTTTGCCTCTTCCTTTCTTCTTCTTGGAAGTGGCCAGAGCAAATTATGTGGAGTCATCAATGGCAGGCAGTCGTAGCCACAAGCCACGATGCCCGCATCAGAATCGTAGCACCAAAGCGAAGGCACTGTGGGAGTGGGAAGCACGCAAAGTTTGTTAGCCATTGGTGTTGGTTATGGCCGAAGAGTTGGGCAATTTTCAGATTGCAGCTGAGATGATCAGTGCCCAGAAAGATGGTCTCTAAAGATATTCAGATGATCGTTGTTACGTTTTGCTGGCGCTTAGAATAGCTTTAAATGAAGGCTAGATGGAGTATATATTGATTAAAAATCATTTTATGATTTTCTTTGTAAAGATCTTAAGGTTTTTGGGGTTAGTTTGCAGTCGCAGAAGTATCACACATCACAGATTAAGTTCTTTCCAGCAGGATCGCCCCTCTATAAGAGCTAGTGAGACCAATCCCCCGAGTTAATCGTCTCATGTCATGGCTATTAGGGCCATCAGGTCTCGATCAATATCGATCGGTGGCCGATCATCTGCCGTGATCTATGCACAGGGCTTAAGCGTAAAATCGAGTGCAATAAAGTGTCCGGGGCGGACACAGCAAGTGTCCAGCATTTGTAAGTCAACAAAGGACACGACACGCTCGGCTGAAGGGTCCAGATCAGATCAGAGGACACAGGAGGACCAGAGATCGCGAGCTGCCCATGATCGGAGCAATGATCACGGACCAGGACGAGTCTGTCAACTATCGAAGCGTAGCATTTTGGCACGGCACATTAGCTGTTGGAAAAAAAAAACACACAGAGAGCGAGAGAAACAAACGGGGAAAACAGGGGAAACAAGCAATTTTCAAGCAGTGAAACAGGAGGCCCATAAACACAGGCCCATCGGTAACGGGAACGGACAGTGGCCGGGGAGGGGAGTGTTGCAAATTTTTATTTGGAAGCAATTTTCACACCCTGTGTGTGTGCGCGAGACAACAACAGGCGAAAATCTCATGCGGCGCAGTCACGGAGCAACAGAACTGAACAGAAGAGAACAGAACAGAACCGGGGAAAAAGTGACCCCTGGCCAGGACTTCCTCGACGATCAGCGAGATGCCCCGATCGTGTAGCTGCTGACAGGACACAGCGTGGCGAATTCACAACCAGAAACGAACCCGGTGACAACTGTTTCAGGAGTGAACTGCGATGCAGAGTGAGACGACGTAAAGTTGCAAATGATGCCAAATGATTGCCGACCATATAAATTTCGATTGTGACTGATTAGCAGCAGCAGCAGCAGCAGCACAGATACCCTACCTGAGGGCAGACAACGCCCCCGGGCCCCGTAGGACACCAGTCAGTCAGCGTTTTAGTTGCGCTTCATCCTCACAGATTATTTGCAATTATGAGCTGAGATTTTACACTTTTAGTGGAACAGCAGACAGTCATATGACAACTCCCCCTTTTGCCAGAACATCTCAGCCCATGAGAGTCCAACAAAAGTTTGACTTTTCGACTTGTTGTCTAATCACCTGGGATGGGAAACGGAAAATCCTCGCAGCTCTTCGGCTCCTTGTTGGTTGACCAGACATTTGACCTTGTCCAGGGACCAGAGACGAGAAGCCTGTCTCAAGGACACAGCCAAAGGAAGATATATTCGGAAATGTATGCTCGCTCTTTCAAGGCTGCAACTCTCGGGGGGTTTTGGGTTTCTCGGTCCGGTTGTTGGTTTATGTTTAGAATTGTTGTGGCGCGTTGTTTTCAGTGATATATGTATGTATTTGCTTTTATATTTTGATGGATTAGCCATGTCGCATTGAAGGTCGGCATTCGGTTAGCCTCGCATTTGTTACGACTTGTTTTGTGGTGGCTAACCAAAGTACGAACAGTAACAGTGCCAACGAAAATTATTAAAAAAAAGACTGGCATGAGAGAGACTGGGAGAGAGAGAGGGTGGCAAGATCATAAATGTTCCTCAGAATATTATGTATCAATCATAAACAAATCCCACATGTCCCTAGCTTTCCTTAACTAATGGTAATGCTCATCAGGTTTTTAGTAGATGCTTTTACAACCCCAGAGAGACACCCATAGGAGACAGACGATCGATCTGTAGAGATCTACCTACAGCAGTGTCGAGCAGAGAGAGAGAGGTCTCGATTTTATGATTTGTTTGCGTTTCAGCCTTCTGTTCTTACTCACTCTCTACCGGAATGCCAGTCCGGGAGTGCGTACGAGTGTGTGTCTCATCATTTGGATTTTCCGCAGCAATAAAATTAATAAGAACGCGCTAATTTTTCGGGGCCCGGAGCCCGGGGCCTAAGCAAATACTGAAGTATTTTTACCATTTCCTACTCCTCCTTACATTCCCTCTAACTCTTTCTCAGACTGTGCTAATATTTGCTAAGGAATTTTTCGTCTAAAACCAGCTAACGGAACAACCCATTGAAACGCCATTTTGTCCGGCACTGAGATGATCTCTCGCGTAATACCCCTGAATGTGTAATGCTTCTGAATAATCGTCCATTAATAGCTTTGACATAATCTTTACGGTGAACAAATGTGTAATTCATTGAAAATGGCCGAAACGGGCCTGAAGAGCGGGGGCTGGGCTGCTCTTCTGGCCTCATCTCTTCGTTTCTGGAGGTGCACACACATGACCAGGCCAGGCCTGTCCAATTAGTGGAAGCAGCCAGGCAATGGCACAGAAGAGCAACGAGGAAAGGGTAAGACATAAAGGCAGCTCTGCCTTGTGGCATACCCGAATGTGCATGTGTGAGTGAGTGGAGAGCATGATCTTGCTGCAGTCGTACATAAGCGGAAGGCTACTCCGAATTTACTCCGAAATAATGAAGAAAACTCGTTCTAGAGGAGCCATACAGCCATAGGAAAAATCTATGTGAATGGGGAGGTGATGGTAGAATTTAATTGAATTCCAGTATTTAAAAGTGTAGAAATTTATATCCAAATAATTTATTTTAATTAAATTATGAAATATTTAAAACAAAAGAATACTTTAAATCCGTAAAAAAAAAGGTTTAAGACAAAAGATCTAAAAATAAATAATTTTCGAAGATCTATATTTTCATTTGAGAATTTTTCCCTAAGGCACCGAACTATAAGAAATACTCCTAATACCCATGAATTTCTTAGCCTTAAACTTAGTATTATCCTATCTTGAAGCAAATCACAATACTCGTAAAAACCAACCCACAACATAGCCAAAAAATGCCCACAAATAAATATATTTAAATGCACTGAACAGCGGCTAGCGAGAGATTACGAAATTGCATCAAATTGGGCAAATAATCGCGCAATGCAATCGATTATTGGGCCGAAAGCTGTGAGCGCAGAGAGCAGATTTCCAGAGCAACAGTTTTTCCATTTCCGCCATTTCTTATTGGCTATGGTTATATATAGGAGCTATATATATACCTGACATACACGAGCACGAACACACTCGAGCAGATAAAACAGAGACAGAAGACGAACACGAACGAGAACAGAGCGAGAGGCGCGCACAGCACACACGATCGGCAGCTGCTCGGACTACCAGCTAGCCGAACTCTTCTGACGCGTGGTGCGATGCCAGACTGTGGAGATTGCTCCTCCCACTCTAGCACACACACACACACACACACGCACACGATGGCAAGCAAGCAGACACACCGAGAGATTATGTAGACGGAGATCGTGTGTCAACCGAAGGTTCGCCTGCGCCTGCGCCCCAGACGCGATCTCTCGGGCCCGTGCGCTGCTGACAAACGCAGAGTCGGGGCCAAAGAACGCACCGGTGTTTCATTTGAGTTTCAGCGCTGAACCGGGCAACAATCTTTCACTCCTCCGCTCTGCGCCGCTCGATACCGTCGCGACATCTATCATACCATACCATACATATGTGTGTATCGATCTAGCCGTACAACTAGAGCAGATTGAAAGTGTTTTTCCCGAATAGAGAGCATAGAGAAAAACTCGACAAGTTTAATAACCATTAATGATTAATCCAAAGAGTGTGTCCCGTGCCGCATGATTACCGTGTGATCGACCCTCGAATTGATTCGAGTTCGGAAAATTAATTGCACAAATATGAGAATCAATATCAATACGCGTATGCTAATGATGATTATGCCTCATTTATAGTGCGTTAATTGGACGTGAAATTGCCATAGAAATATACATACATACAAATATAATAAATAATTGGCATAACAGCCCATAATCCAAACAAATATCGAATAGCCAATCTCTCAGTGAGTGTGTTGTGAGTCGCAGTGTGTCGCAGCAACAAACAAAAAATGGATATAAGCTATATCTTTGTGATCTGCTCCCTGATGCTGGCCCTGTGCCTCAGCCAGGCCGAGAGCAAACAAAAGTCTGGACGGGGCCGAGGCTCCATGTGGTGGTAAGTCAATCGATCGACCGTTCGAATATCAAATGCAATTGAAAGCATTTGAAAGCATTCACCCGTGGTCTTTTGTGGGGGTTGACAATTAGCATCGAGGCCTTAACCATCAGAGCAAACAGCATTTGAAATAAGAAAACAAACGCCAAATAAACCGAAAGGGGCACAGTGTCACAGAACAACAGCCACAGAACTTTGTACGAGTATTACTACGGCAGGCACGCGCCACCACAACACGACTTTCGGGATAAAATTTCCTACAAGAAACAAACAAACAACAAAAAAAAGAACAGAAGATGTTAAAGGTCTTGTGCGTCACGCACAATGCGGAAGCTACGAAATGCACACTCCACACAAAAAAGCTGCTAAAGCCTTGCTCGATCTTCGCTTTATGAAAGCAATTAAAAATTCTAAGCGCGCATTCATTCAACTTTTACTCGAGATGGGTTTCGGATTGCTTTTCTCTGCCTCTGTGCGTGTGTCTGACACAGTTTAAGCTCTGAATGGGATCTGTGGAAGCCACGGAGTGGGGAAAAAGAGTTGGGGTCTTAGAAGGAAGTCAACATTTTTGGGATCTAGCGCAGAGTGATGGCACGTCGGGCAGTGGAAAAGTTGCGTGGTAGCATCCGCAGGGAAATCAAGTTTGTTGCTTAAGTCTTTTGTTTTTTGACCCCACATAGAGGAAGTTTACGGAAAGGAAAAGTTGGTAATTAAAAGAAACATCAACTCACAAGAAATTATATATAGCTGTTGCAAATTCATTACAAATAAAAGAAAGAAACATTTGTAGGAAAGGGGATTGAGTTGGTAAATTCTCAATAAAAGATTACAAGCATCAATAAAGAAACCCCTCGTGTGTATACGATTACTACTTTATTTGTTCGCTTGGACATATGCAATTAAATTCTGAAAGAGTAGGAGCTTTATACAAATCTTTATTGGAATTTCAACACCTAATAAAAGACACTTCATAGCTATTTTTCCTTTAATTCTCAACTTAAATCAAATGTCAATTGCGAGTATATTATTTCTTTAATAAATTAACAATATATAGTATTTTCTGATGTTTGCCATTGTGCCCTGTTGCTGCCGGTCGCTGCTCTGCTGAGAGATTCCGGGGACTTTGAGACTTGATGAGTTGTTTGTTTGACTTTTATCACGTGCAAAACTTCAGCTGAGCCTTAATAGCTTTTTATAACGGCATAAATTTCAACCTCAACAATAAAAAATCAACACAGAAATACACACAGAAGATATTCGCGTACTAAAGATACACAGATACACACGAAAAATTGTTGCTGTTGGAGCGAGCGGCTGCTGCGGATTGCCGTCGCATAAATCTCCGATGGGGAATCGATTTAATCCGCCTGGGAATTGAAATCGATTGGCAATCGCATGCCCCCTCCATCTGGCTGCTCTCCTCTTTTGCCTGGAAGATGTTACACTTTCGATCAAGATTTTTGTTTTTGTTTTATTTATGTGTTCGTTTTATTAATTTTTTGGTTGCATTACGCAATTGTTTTAAATTTTTGTTCCCACCGCAATCAGCATTCAATTGAATTGCCAATTAATTTGCATTCACCGCGACTGGCTGTCAATATAAATTTGTTTAAGTGAATATATTTCACTTTTCTGCTAATGAAGCGACGGAAAATATTATAAAGATCAACAGTTAGAACAAAGCCACATAAATGATGGCAGGTCAATGTGTGGAAGGAGACCGACAAGTGTCTGCAAATATTTAGCCATCTATGAGTGTACCGATAAATACTATATGTATATGTATATGTATGTATCTGTATCTGTATCTTTGTGTGGTTTATGCTTGAGTAACGCCGGCAATTGACGTGCACCGCCCAGAAACAAAAAAATGCTGGAAAATAGAGAAAAGAAAAGCCGCAAAATGAAATGTCGAACAAAAATAACAACTCAAACTCAAGTCAAGTGGAAAAACCGACAACAAAAACCTGAAAAATACTTATGACAAAACCAAAAAAATAATGAAAATTTTTGTGTTGTTTGTTTGTTCAGGGGGAAAAGGTCCCGAGCAGCTTGTGAAAACCCTCATCCTCATTCCCTTTGCTCATAATTAGGCGCAAGAACCAACTCAACCATTAAATAGTTTTGACAACTCGTCATAAACCATCTCAATGACCAAAAAAAAAAAAAGATTGCTCTATTAACTTTCGGTTTTTCTGGCTATTTCTCTCCCTCCTTTTTAGGGGCATTGCCAAGGTCGGCGAACCGAACAATATGTCGCCCATCACCACTGGCATTATGTACATGGATCCCGCCATACACTCCACACTGAGAAGGAAACAGCGTCGCCTGGTACGGGACAATCCGGGTGTACTGGGAGCCCTCGTCAAGGGCGCCAATCTGGCCATCAGCGAGTGCCAGCATCAGTTCCGTAATCGGCGATGGAACTGCTCGACCAGGAACTTCCTACGAGGCAAAAACCTATTTGGCAAAATTGTCGATCGAGGTGAGTCACAAGCAAAGCAACTAAATAGCTGTGTAGATTTCCTTTGCCATCACTTAAGGTTCGCCCCGTCAATCTCATTAGCTCTTTCCTTCTTTCCTTGTAGAAATATGATCTACCGATCATATTGTTGTCAACGGTTTCGTTTTTCCTTCAGCTACCTTCATAGGAAAAGCATCAACAAATTGCTTGCATAACCCAACTGCAACCTCATTTTTCTTTCGGTTTCCACTTTATTTACGAGTATGTTATGAAATGTCACTCCCCTGGACATCGTCTATATCTCTCTCTCTCTCTCTCTCTGAATCTCTGTCTGTATCTCCCTCGTTCTGTGTGTGTGTGGCGCTTGTTTGTTATTGTAATACGATCTGGGCACTTGGTAATATGGTACATATTACTTGTATGTATACTTTGTACAATACTTTCGTATATATGGGTTGACTACCCTTCAAGAGGGCACTTTCCCTGACTGGTGGCTGGTGGCTGGGACAAAGGGTTCGCCTTGTCATCATCTTGCAGTCCTCCATCCTCCATTCCATCCTCCAGTGCACTTGCTCCACTTGCATTTCAGCATGTTTATGCTAATTGTCACAAGTTGGCAGCATCACAACGCCACAGAGACTTCCAGTCCAGACCAGACCAGACCTGACCACGTCTGTCACTCACAATTGCTCATTCAAATCAATCAAATGTGCCTGTGTCTCGCTCTTCTGGGAGTTGTGTTGCTTCTGGGAGTTGTTCGTTCGCCTGCTGCGCGACGACTCCGATCCCAGGAGAGCAGCTACTTCCTCGACTGTATAAGTGTTGCTGTAGCTGCCCCCGAGCGAGGCTGTCAACTGATTTTCATATATGAATATAAACAAAAGTCTCGCATGCGCTGTTTTGTCCTGCTGCTGTTTTCATTGGAAATCTGCGCTGCACTGTCTGTCATTTCGCCTGCCGTTTTATTAGCTACTGTTTTGTCCTCATTCCTACCAGAGCGCACTACCTGGGATCACTCTGGGTATCTCATTCTGTATCTATATCGTATGTCATTTGTGGGCGTGCCCACGTCGCGTGGCTCTGCTCATCAGCCCCGTACCTCTGTCCGGGTCTTCTTCGTCCGTCTGTCAACGGCAGCTGACTTTTATAGCCAGGCTCTTGACCTTATCAAGTCATTTTTACTCTCTGCTCTGCTAACATCCTTTTTATGAGTCTCTCTCTCTCTCAGTGGAGATCCCTCTTGACATTTTATGGATTACATAAAACGAAAACGAAATGAAAGGCTGGGAAAAATTGCCTTGCCTGTTGGTGGTGACAGCTTTTTATCGCAGCACTTTCATCGCTTTCCACAATCAAATTTTTAATGTTCTCTTTCTCTCTCTCTCTCGCTCTCTCTCTCTCGCTTCGACTCTTACTCTGCCCTTGCCCTTGGCCCTAATTAACACCTAGAGCGAACCATTAACACTTGGGGTACGGTACCGATCTGAACGGATCCGAACCGAACCGAACTGAACCCTAGCTAGCGCAGTTCCAGTGGCTCTCAAACCGACTGACTCTGCTCTGACTGTCTGGCGACCCATTTGCCAGCGGGGCACATTCTCCTACTCTCCTACATTATTCATCTTTTTGTGTAGTTCTTTTTTCGGAGTTTTTGGGGTAGCAGCCTAACTTGTTTTCTAATTGGTGACACCTTGTCAATTTGCCACGGCATACGGTTTAACAGGCTGTCTCTATTAGTGATTTCATCTTACTCTTTTTGCATGGAACTTCGTCTGCTTTCGCAATCAATCGGTCGTGACGAACGAACCCACCCCGGGGTTGCCACTGGTTCAGGGTCCCTGTGGGTTTTATATCAAGGGCTCTAAACTATTCCGGGAACTGTCAGTCTGTCAGTCTGTCAGTGGTCTCCGTCTAAGCAGCTTATCCTACAGATGAGCTGAGCCCTTCTCTAGGGCATTTATTTTTTGCGTTAGGTACGTTAGTCAAGAGGCTCTGCTTAGCCGGGGCTCATCTTGTGGTACGGCTTCTGCTCCTGCTGCTGCTCCTGCTGCTGCTGCTTCTCCTTTTGGTATTGCTCTCAATTTCAATCAGTTTTTGCCACGCCCACACACAACGGAAATCCGTTTGTGGCAATTACGTGCACTGAAAACTTCTCGTATTACATGCGGAAATATGTGTGTTTGTTGGGTTCCTTTTTATCTGGTTTTTTTTTTGGTCGCCCATTGCTCCATTTTGGTCGTGGGACGACACACCCTACAACCAACTCATTTCGCATTTCTTTTGTTAATTACTCAGAGCTCTTATTCCCATTGCCATTGCCATTGCCCATTCCCGTTCCCATTCTCTTTAATTTATTATCTTTTGTTCGTTAACCATTTACCAAGCGCTATTTACATAAGAAAAACCCACAAAAAGGAGAGTATGAAATACGAAATGCAAACATAAAACTCTCGATCTTTCACTCCCCCGCCGCCCGTAAAAAGGTAACGCGAATTCTTGCTAAGCTAATCACCCAAAAAGCAAATGTCAGGCCCAATGACTGTGTCACGCCTCTGACTCTGCCGCTGCCTCTGCCACAGATACAGATACCGCGCCAAGGTTTCAGTTCAGTATTATTCCCGAACGTTTGCGCATGCGCCGCCGCTGTATCGTTATCGGGGGCCAAACATCTTGCACATATTTACACATCTTCATGCCTTAAATTTTTGGTTACTTACGTGAAATTATTTAAGGAAAACCGAAACCGAAACCGAAACCACCAACGACAAACAAGCAAACATTAACCGGGAATCGGTGGAAGTTGGAAGGTGGAAGGCGAAGGCTCTCCTCTCCTCTCGCTCTCTCGCGTAGTTCAAGAAAACAAATCATTTTTTGGTCGAATTCCAGGAATTTGAAATCAAAAGCGGCAAATTGTACGAGTAGTACTTCAAGCGGAAGTTGTGCCTCGTCAATCGTCAAGCAGAGACTTGAGGCTAGTCAATCATAGATACATCAATCCACACATTCAAACAAAACGAAAGAGAGTGGGAGAGGGAGAGGGGGATGGGAAGAATTTTCTGAATGGCAAATGATTCATATGGGGGAACCCTAAACCAGCTATAAATATACTTCAAATATCTCCAAGAGTTAACACCCCAAATTGAACTCTTACCTATGCAAGTAAAACAGTTGACAGTTTTCCTCACTTACTCTGAGCCATAGTGCCGTCCAGGCCCTACCCTCTCTCAGTAGACTGCCAGCTAGCTACCTGACCCATCCAGACAGACCATCCATACAATATATCATATCTTTTGAGCTATGCACTGAAGCGAAACCACTTGAAAAATTATCTGCAACATGTAAATTCAATTTTCATTGTTCTTTATCTGTGATGGTTGGTCTTTCAGAACAGAGAGTACGAGAGTAGACACAGAAACAGAAACTGAAACAGAAACAGAGGCGAACGGAGGCAGTTTCGTATACTAAAAATAAAAGTAAAGCAGGGGGTCCGGGTTCGGTCCGGGTACGGTCCGGTCCGGTCCGGTACCGAAGAGAGACGGAGAACTGTCCACTCGAATGGATTGTGTAGAGATGGGCAAAAGTGTTAAGTTGGAATTTATAGTTGAGCGTTTAATCTGTGTCAGGTTTTGTGGCGTTTCCCCCTATTTCCCCTGCAATCTGTTTCTGTTTCTACCTCTTCTCTGCTGCTCTGATCCTCCTGTGGCATTGATAACTTGAAGTGTCATAATTGACCAGACTTTGGAGGACAAGTGCCATTACTCATACTCATGCAACAAAATGCCCCAACGAAATATTTGTAGCTCTCTGCTTGCCCACGTCGCACTCACTTGAGAGCTGAGATTGAGATCTTGTCTTGTCTTGGTTGGGCTCCTCCATGGAACACCCAGAAGGCAAACATACCAAGGGGGAACAAAAACAAAAAAATGTAGTTAAATCTCGAAATTCATTCGCTTTCATTTCCATTTCCATTTGTAGGCTGCCGCGAGACGGGCTTCATCTATGCCATCACCAGCGCCGCGGTGACCCATTCGATAGCTCGGGCCTGCAGCGAGGGCACCATCGAGTCCTGCACCTGCGACTACAGCCACCAGTCGCGCTCCCCGCAGGCCAACCATCAGGCGGGCAGCGTGGCCGGTGTCCGTGACTGGGAATGGGGCGGCTGCTCCGACAATATTGGATTCGGCTTCAAGTTCTCCCGCGAGTTCGTGGACACTGGCGAGCGTGGACGCAATCTGCGCGAGAAGATGAATCTGCACAACAACGAGGCGGGCCGTGCGGTAAGTTTCACTCAAACCCTTCCCCTAGTCTTAATGTCAGCTGCTGTTCGATTGCGGATTGGGTTTGGGGAGCCTGCGATTTACGACTGGGCCTAATAAAAACCAGCGACGAATGCCTCGACAGTTCCCGTACGTTCCAGCAATTAATTGGAGTCGAACGCCAATTGGCCTAGGCTTAAGCGCTCTCTCTCTCTCTCTCTCTCCGGTTTGTCCATGCATGGAAGAGAGCGGAACAGGCGCTGGCTACAGCTGGAACTGGAACTGGAACTGGTAGGATCGGTAGGATCGGTAGGGGGAGTGCTGCACTCGTTTGCGTTTGTGTTCCTCGTATATTAACTCGTTGACAGCTTCCAGTTCCCCTGCACTTTCAGCTAAAATGGTAGGCCTTTAGTTTTGGGGCAGCCTATGTACGTAAAGTGGGTAATAACGATTAGAAAATCGATTAAATATCGATAGGTATCAAAATGATAGCATGAATCCGATATGTAGATACATTGGCAGATACTTTTACATGATGGAATTCGAGAATTAATCGATGAGAAAGCCAACAGTTTCCCTTTCATTTATTTATTTATTTTTTGAGCATAAATCTCCAATTAATTGTATTTGATACCCAATTCGGTTATTAAATCCCACTGTGCCCCAATTATGCCTCCTCCAGCGACTCTTGTGCCTCTTGTGGCTCTTGTGGCGTATGGATGCTGCAAGTGGGGTGTATAAAGTAGCCCACTGAGCCAACATCCAGTACAGCTAGAGACAACTGTAGATCCGGGGCGATCCATGGGCTCGACATCATAGTAGTATTGGTACTGGTACGGCTCCTCCAGTGAGGGCCCACCATCTGTGTTATTATTTTATTACTTGTTATGGGCTTCATCTTCGACTCCATCTCGATCTCCATAATCATTGCGATGATAATGGAGATGATGATGAAGTTGGTGGCTGCTGTGGGCCCCCAACTGCGTTGATTTCTTACTTTTAGTCGACGGGATCTGGGGCCTTGCACAATTACAACAAGAGGCAGCAACAGAAACAGCAACAACAGCAGCAACAACGACAGCAACAAAGGGGGAACATGCAACATGCGCACAGCAAGTTTCAACAACATTTATTGATTTTTAATAACTGCAACAACGTGGCAGGCGGGCCGCCAATCTCCCAACCAGCAATCGAGCAACAGCCAAGCAAAAAACAGCAAAATAATTAAGTGAAAAACATACTGAGACTCCAGTCGAGTCCATGGAGCGTAATGAAGTCATACTAATGAACAATCTCTCCCCTCGATATCGTCTTGCAGCATGTCCAGGCGGAGATGCGCCAGGAGTGCAAATGCCACGGCATGTCCGGCTCTTGTACGGTGAAGACCTGCTGGATGCGCCTCGCCAATTTCCGTGTGATCGGTGACAATCTGAAGGCACGTTTCGATGGCGCCACCCGTGTCCAGGTCAGCAACAGTCTCCGGCAGAGTGCCAATGCCGTCGCCGTGGTGAGTCCCAATGCGGCGGGCTCCAGCTCCGGCGGCTCCAATGGCCTGCTGCAGTCCGCAGTCAGCGTCTATGAGGAGGAGGAGCGAATGCTGAACGATCACATGCCCGATTCGTTGCTGGACAACACGCATCTGAGCAGCAAGATCCATCATCCAAATATGCCATCGCCAAATAGCTTACCCATGGCGGGTGCAAGGTCCAGGAATGGACGTCGTCAGGGTCGCAAACATAATAGGTAAGCATCGAATGCCATCGCATCCACCCACACCCACCATCCACAAAACAAGATCCACGAGGGCACTGCCCAGAAGTGCCCAAGAAGATAATCAAAATCAACATCTAACCATTGCCACCTTCTTTCGTTCTTGTCTCTGTCTGCAGATATCATTTCCAATTGAATCCACACAATCCCGAGCATAAGCCACCTGGCTCCAAGGACATTGTCTACCTGGAGCCTTCGCCCAGTTTCTGCGAGAAGAATCTGAGACACGGGATCCTGGGCACTCATGGCCGTCAGTGCAACGAGACCTCGCTGGGCGTCGATGGCTGTGGCCTGATGTGCTGCGGGCGTGGCTATCGGAGAGACGAGGTCGTCGTCGTGGAGCGATGTGCCTGCACTTTCCACTGGTGTTGCGAGGTCAAGTGCAAGCTGTGTCGAACCAAGAAGGTCATCTACACGTGTCTATAAGTAGTTACCACCCCACCTCAACCCACCCCCCCACAAAATCCATCCTCATTCTATCTGAAACCACTCTCTTTTCTATGTGTATGTGTTATGTATTTTGTCTACGCTTAGCCTTTGTTATTAGCCACTTAAGAGCCTAGACTATAGCCTAGTTAACGATACAGCTACCATCGCCCCTTTTTTCACTCCCCTGCCCTCCTCCCCACTCCCCACATATCGTATTTAACTCTCACTTTTCTGATAGCAGTATTACGGGAGGAATCAATGAATAGATTTCATGAGGAATACAACTTATGTTTGCCCAGTTTTTAGTTATGTAAGCAAGCCAGCAAATTATTTTGTAAATTACAATTGCTGCACGTCCATCCCTTAGTTTAGGGTGTAATTTTAGTTTAGCTTAAAGTTTTACTAGCGCGTCCCCCTACTCTCTGTAAATCTTTGCTTCTTTCTCTAAACGAAAATCATTTTTAAATCATTTTTAAATCATCGAAAAACAAGACTGAAAAAATTCAATATCGCCGCGCCGCTCTCCCTCCGTCTATATCGTTCGAATATCGAATATTGCTTCCATGTGTGCTTTGGCCGGGTTCAAAGCAGATGGCAAGCGGGAATAGATCAGAAATCATTTAGCAAATAAGCGAAAAAAACCCAAGACTGGAATACAATTGGAATGGATATTCCAAGATGGTATTTCCAAATATAGACTTGGTCCCCAAATCATTTACTACTTTTTGTGTACATAAATAAGATTTAATTTAATTTTAGTCTTTGTCCAAATTAACCATCCACCCATTTGTTGCTTGGAATTTATGAAATTTTGCACATACTCGTAAGAGAAGAAAATCATATGAAATATATTTTTTTTTTGGTCACTCATTTAATTTATATGTTTTTTGTCCCCCCCCCGCCCCCGCCGGTTGTGCGTTAGTGCCCCGCCCAACCCATTGTAGGTATTACTAATTAATTAAAGTGCACATGGCTGGTTAGTCGAACTATAAATAATTTCTAGGCTTAAAATTATACATATACATATATATCTTTAATTAATTTATACTAGATGATAGATGATTCAATTTTGTAAAGTATTAATGCGAGCGAGAAACAACAAAAATCAGAGAAACTAAAAATTAAAAATTAAAAACAAAAAACAACAACAAAAAATGCGAATCGAAATGCAAACAGAAAACACACACAAATCAATAAAAAAGAAACCAAAACAAAAACGACAATTACAAAATAAAACCTAGAGTGGAATTTATTTACTTGTGGCTTTGGGCAATTATTTGTATCAAGTGTGCGGGCAATTAGCCAGCGACTGTGGCAGGGGCAGGGGCAGAGGCAGAGGCCAAGGAGCAACCGCAGCAGGTCAGGGTTTCTGCTCTGTGGCATTTCAATATTTGATTTAAGGCAGCTCAGCAGCTCTCTCGGTGGCAGTTTCCCAAGCGCATTTTTTTGCTGCTGCTGTCGCTGCTGCAACTAAAGAAACTGTCAACCTGGGGCAGGCCACACCAGCAACAACAGCAACAACAACAACAACAGCAGAGAAGAACCAGCAACGACAGTTGCATCTTTTGTATATCGTCGGCAAAAGTCGGACCTGAGGCTCCCCGCACATCTGACAATGCGAACGACAATTCCGCGCTGTCAGCGGCAAGCCATCGAATGTGGCTTTCAAGTTTCAGCGACGACGACGACGACGACGAGGAAGATCGGACCACGACATGCAATTGCCCGACCAACTATGCAACCTGACATCCGACAGATCTAGACGAGAGCCACAGCCACAGTCACAGTCACAGTCACAGCGAGAAGGAGTCAGAGAGCGAGATCTGGAGCTGGATGAGGCTTACATTGATCCTGATTTCAGCTACTGATCTGCAGATGAAGATGGAGCTGGACCCTGGATAGCTGGATAGCTATGCACCCAACAATCGTACTTGTCTTATATATAAATACATACATACATACGTACATACATATATATATAAAAAGTGATCGTGCTACATGTGTCCAATGCGGTTGACAGTTTTGTTTCGCTTTTTCTTTTCTTTTCTTTTTTGATACGGGTGGGAAAACAATTTTTCGTCCAGTAAACGGGATTCCACAGAGATGTTTGATTAGCCGGGTGTTTGGGGCCTTGAACTGGTGCTGTGAAAAAAAGGATATGATCGGAGCAAGTGAATGAAAGATCTTCATATTGATCTTCCATTGAGCTTCAGTATGGCCTAGTTTTGATTACTTGAAGGATTCAAAGCATTCAAGTTTAGAAATCAGCTTCATGATATTCCAATTATAGATGAAAATCAATGCTTGATTATCTAAAGAAACTTTCCCCAAACTATTTAAAAAACAAATTTGACGATCAAACTGCACATTCCTTAAATGATGTCTAAGGTTTATTTTAGAGACCAAACGTCACTCCTTTTTGTAAGCAAGTTAAAGTTTAGTAAAATAATTTCTAAATTCAAATCAAGCTCCAATCTACCCACAATCAACCATCAGCATCATCTTCGTTCCAGCTCCATGTTCTGACCATTATGTCAGTTGTAATTAGAGAATAGAATAGATACAAAATGCCTGGCAAATGATTCACGAGCTGTTGCCTTCAACGCCTCAATGGAGACTCATATAACACAAAGGCTCGAACGAGTGAGTACACGTACACGTACACACTCTCGAAGCCTAACGCGTTGGATCCTCGGGCATTATTAAGCATCATAACCCCACGGGGCACATACTACGCCTAGTTAGAGAGTGACGTGCCATTGTTGTTATGGCACAGCGAGGCGACAATTGTTGTCTCCAATGAGTCGTCGTTGTGGTCGTCTTGGACTTGGACGTCGTCGTCGCTGCTGTTGCTGTCGCTGTCTGGTCCAAAGAGACATTGCTCCTAATCAATAAAACTAACGAGCGGATTAAGATTATGTTGCCGTTGCAGTTTCAGCTTCAGTTGCACCGTCTCGCACAGAGGCGAGAGACCAAAAGCGGCGCACGCTCATCCCAAAAATGGTCAGGCGGCCTAATGAATTGCAAGTCGCCAGAGCCTGTCCAGCATATACAATAAAGAAGAAGAAAACAAACAACAAACAACAAACAAAAAACAAAAACGAATCGAATCGAATCGGGGATCCTCATCTGGTTCCTTCTCGAGAGTCGTCAATCGCTGGATCGATGTATCGATCTGTGGTTCGGTTGAGCGTTCAATGGTTGGGCTGATGGGGATGTGACAATGACAGTTGTTGTTCGTCATGTTTGGTGCATGTATAGCCAGCCGCCCGGTTTGCTTCCACCGATCCGCTCTTCTTTTGTGTTGTAATTGCAGACGCCACACGTTTCGCGCGCTGTTTGATTTGGAAATTGCAACAGATCGGCTCGGAATGGGCAATATCGCGATGGGGGTATGGGTATCTCATTGAATTGGCATTCCAGGCACGCGCATGCCTTGGCATGACAAGACTTTCAAGCCCTCGCTCGCTCGCTCGCTCACTTGCTCTGTGGCCAGAGCCACAAAGGGCCACAGCTGAAAATTTTCGACAGCAAGAAGCCTCATGGTGTTTGGTGTGTGGTGTTTGGTGTGTGTGTGTGTGTTAATTAAGTGGCAATTGTTGCGAGGCGTGAGAATTTGGCGGATTAGGTAAAGAAATGTAAGTGGCCCAAGACGCAAACAACTTGCGGGGAGTTGGAACACCCTGGGGTAAACGGTTCCCATTAAGGAACTGATCTAAAGCTCTTGGGAAAAGTTGCGTTGAGTTTCCTTAGTTTCGTCAGTGGTGTGGCTCAGAATTGTATGTTTTGGTGACCCAAACCAAGTGGGAGTTTCCGGCCCTAAACCCAAAAAAAGAAATACAAAATGGAGGAGTTACTTGGGTGTAGTTTTCTCGCAAAGGATGTGAGCTGAGCTGCATAATTTGGTGACCAAAATCCCTAAATAGAACTTAGCTTTGGTGCATCAAAGGTGCAGACGCACTGCATAATTTGGTGACCCAAACCCACACAGAGCGACAAAGGATAGAGTTCGCTTGCCAACTGGAAAACTAGCTCAAGTGACCCAGGTCCCTTGGGGGAAACGCTGTTCCAACTAAGGACAGGCTGGGACTGGTGACCCCCCCAAAGCAACATTATTTCAATCGACAATCTAGAGAGGTGTAGGTAGCTAGCTTTTGGTTAACTCGGTCCAAACATTGGCCTAGTGCCTATGGCTATCAATCATCGGCCCAAGGCTGTTAACATTGGCGACAACTTCTGCGATTGTCACTACCAGGAAGCAATGACCAAGCAGAGACCACCAGAGGCGAGACTCCGACTCCGACTTGGACTCCCCATGCCCTCAGAGACTAGACCAGAGACCAGAGACCTGCCAGCCAGACTGCGACACTGGACACTGGACTGGACCATGTAATTAACGGCACGCAAAAAGTGTTTGTAAAGCATTTATGGGATGTATGAGCTGGGGATGCAACTGGGGGACGGGGAACGGAGAACGGAGGGACCCTCTCCATAGCCATTGGATATGGGTGTCCCATTGGCTAAAGGCGACACGCATGTAAACATTACCATTTTTGGCTAAAGACGCGACAGCTGCTTGGACATTGGACTGTCTACCTACTTGCCTTCCCGGCTGGCTGGCTGGCTGGATGGATGGATGGATGGATGGACGGATGGACTTGGTAGAGATCCAACTTCGACTTCACCATCCACTCTCCAATCTGGGTGGCCGTCAGTAGTGCTCTGACGTTCGTAATTGAGTTACAAAAAGGTCAATCGATCGACGGTGATGTGGAGTGTCAGTGCTCGACTTTAATTTATTTTATAATTACACGCACTTTATGCCTAATTAGTTTTGTTTTTGTATTCCCGCTCTCTACATCTTTCCTCCTGTCCCCTTTCAGATTGTTGCCTGGCCCAGCATCAGTGTCTGTGTCTGCGTCTGCGTCTGTGTCCGCAGGTCGGGGCCACAAAAAAGTTTCCCATCATTTGGCTTCCATTATGCAGCGTTCGCGGCCACCGAATTCCAAAGGTGCGCGCGAATGGGCGTCAGGTTTGCACAAAAAAAAAGAGAACATGAAATAAGTTAAGGCCGAAGGTTTAGATACCCTCGCAGATTCATTGTTTTTTTTCTGGTAATACTTTTATGATATAGTATACAGAATGAAGAAAATTACAAGTAGTTTCCGCCGCTTGTAACTCTCCTGCACCTCGCTCGCTACCTTGTTGTATGTCCCACGTGCCTCTCTCTGCACCGCTAGATCATCTACAGTGAACTTGTAGAAGCAGCAAACATCTGGTAAAAGTCATGGTACCTCTTTAAGGGCACACACAAATATTCGCTCCGAACAAAGGAGTAAGGCTGACTAAGGACAGAGGTGCACACACAGTGGAGAGGGTGCGCCTGGGTGCCCACTACAATTCCCAGTCAACGGATGCGAGCGTTCTCAGTCCTCCTCCTCCTCCTCCTCCACCTCCTCGTAGTAGTATACTCTCATTCAGTGTGCCTGCCCCCCTTCGCCATCGTGTGGCCCCGTTTTGGATCCAGATTGAGGAGTACGAGTGGACTGGAGCGATCATCTCATCGGGGCGCTTTTGTGGCTGCGTCTTCGTCTTCATCGCTACATCAACGCACTCCTTTGTTTGTCCGGGCCCTTTAGCCTGACCCTAGTGCTCTCTCTCTCCGTTCGCTTGAGTCTGCCCCTGCATTCCCTGACCCCCCGATCCAACGATCACCTGATCACCGCTCTCTGGCTGAGTGAGTCGGTCGGTGCGCCAACTTTGTTTAAGTTTGCGTTGGCTTATTGTTTGCTGTTCTTTTTTTTTGTTGTCTTATTGCTCTTGTTGTTGCTGTTGCTGTTCCTGTTGTTGGTTTTGTGTGGATGCCCTTGCCGAAAATTAAAGAGCAAATTATGGGGTATTACGATTGAGTTAAAGATTTGGCATCAAGGGGATGTTTAGATCGTATATAGATTATGTTATTTTTAATTCTGTTAGAAGATTATTTTGTAGGCCCCTTCTGGGGCTCTAATTTAGTGAGCTTAAAGACCACTTTCCGATGGTGTGAAGGGATGCTTATGTGGCTATAAGAATGATAGTAAATTGGAATAGACTTCCATCCCTACCCCTTAAGATCCCTTTGAATAGAAAAATAAATTACGATAAAGCAG